CGTTTCGCTGTGGCGTCTGCCAGGCCTTTCGGGCGCGGCGGACAGCTTAGTTCTGAGTCGAGGGCTCGGGAAGCCATCCCGTGGCCACCGTTTTAATAGCCTAGGTACAGCAGGGCTTGGTTACTCTGTGATGAGGCTACTGGTGGCCGGAACTAGGGAATCTTATCTTAGGAAAAAAGAGTTTTAATATACAAATGGGAGACAGGAAAGCAGTTGCAGACTGTGAAACGCTGTCAGCGAGGAAGATGGTTTCAGCTGTTTGGAGAGTAAAATCCGTGAGTGAACCCTGTCTTTGCAGATTGCAGTTGTGAGGAGCACCGAGAGGAGTGTACAGACGCTGAATTTCTTTACCACCTATTCTTCTAGGGAATTTCAGAGTGATTTCTAAATACACAAACAGAGAGTATCTACAAAGTTACTATAATAGCAAGAGAAGCTTTCTGTAATTGATTATCAATGCAAATTGTACAGTGACTCATGTAAGTGAATGAAAAGTAATACTGTGTTCTGTTGCTGGCATGTAGTAAGGTAAAATATGACATTAGGCAAGAATAGCCTCTTTAACAGTTTGCTGGGGGGGAGGGTGCTTGTCTTTGCAGGTTTGTGAGTCAAGTGTGCGTGGAAAAATCACTCATATTCAGAAGTAACACCCCTTATCCTACTGCTACCATTACTGTCCCTGGTGGACATGATCTGCTGTTCTGTGTGCAGCTGGATGACTGTAAGTAATCTTTCTTTCCACACATTTAATTCATAGATTGCCTCTGTTTAGGGAATCTGCTTTTTAAAGTTACATGTTGTAATTGTTACTAATTATTTGGGCTGTTACAGTTCCAGAGAGACCATAGCAAATCAGGGTCCCATCACTGAAGACAAATGAAAAAAAAGGTCATTGCACTTAGTTTAAGTGTAGGGTCTCTGGCTAAACACAAATCAGTCTTTATCAACGGCTTCTGTATCTGAGATACCTTACTTAATTTGCTACACTTAGAGCAGCAAATAAGGGTTGATGTTTGAAATACACCACTATTATGCTTTTGAGAAAGTGATTTCTTATCGTATTTTTTCATATGCTCACGTTCATACTTTCTTCTCTACTGGCAATGATTTTTCTGTAGTAATCATATACCCTCGTAGGGTATACCGTTAACACTTTTTTATCTTTTTGCTTTCCACATTGTACTTCGACTGATGTGATGTCCAGCTCTCTGGCATTCATTGCAATTCACTGGGGTTTCACATTGAAACACTTACTGTTTTCTCTTTTGGGTCTTTTGCCTGGGAGTTTTTACCCACAGTCCCACCTACTTCTGACCTAAATCACAGAGCTTTTTAGGTTGCGAGGGGCTCAGGGGGTTAGCTGATCCAACAACTAGTAAAAACAGAGTTAGCTTCCTGTTATCTAGCCCTGCTTTGAGCTCTTCACAGATGTTGCCTGAATGTTTTGCATACAGGGAATAGCAAAGGAACAGTGAGAGTCTCATAGTACATAGTATGATAGGTCGTAGTGCTAGAACTTCACCCATGCCGATTTTCAGTAGGTCTCGGAGTAAAGGTTAGTTCTGATGAGGGTTTAACCACAACTGAAAGTGCCACCAAGCTCCTGGGTATTCCAGCCTGTAACCAGCTAGATTTTGTCCTTTTTCCCCCATAGTATAATAAAAATGGGATAAGAAGGATTCTGAAGTTGTAATCCCATCCAAAGGATGTGTCCAGGTTGATGGCACCAGATTTTTCTGGCCTTTTAATGTTTGGGCCCCATATCTATCACATGATTAAGTGCAATGAACGAGCCCTAGGCATTTGATTGCATGTATACGTTAGGTGTAGCACACCTGGGAACAACAGAATTCACTGCTTACCTGGAGTTTTCCTTTTCTGTGCTCATTGTCGGAAGAATATCCAGGAAAGACTTTATCTGGGATCACCTGAAGGATGGTTAAGTTCTCTGGTAGAAACAGCCTTCTCCCCTTCAGCCTTCACCAAGGAAATATAGAAACACGTATGTTCTCATCAACTGATTGTGGAAGAAGCCTTTCCAGGATGGATGGTGACATGAGTTACCACTGCCAGAAATATAATCAAGCCTGCTTGTCCTGGATTCAGCTGGGATATGGTTAATTTTCACAAGAAGCTGGGAGGGGACACACCCAGCACGGCTGACCCAAACTGGCCAAACAAACAGCATATTCAATTCCATGTGACATCATGCTTAGTATTGAAGTGGGGCGGCTGGCTGGGGCAGGGTATTGCTGCTCAGGAGCAGGCTGGGCATTGGGCAGTGAGAAGACTGTGCTGTGTATTCCTTCCTTTGTGTATTCTTTGTATCATCATTGTTGTTATTCTTCTATTCTTTTGCTGTTCTGTTAAACTGTCTTTATCCCAGCCCACGAGTTTTGCCTTTTCCTTCCAATTCTGCTCCCCATCCCACCATGGGGGAAGACCAAGCGAGCAACTGCATGATTCTTTGTTGCCTGGTGGGGCTAAACCATGACACTGCTCCAGAAGGCCTCCTGGAAAAGGGCAAGTGGTAACAGGCTCTGAACCTAATGGATTACCATGGCCAGTAAGAAAGAGATTGTGATGCACAAGTTGACTTCACCTCATTGAAACCTCATTGCTAGCAGATACCAGAGTACTATTCAAGTATTAGTAATACATATTTATGATACTTGTAAAAGGTGTAGGTTTTTTTCTTCCTCTGCTTGTCACTAATGACTCTTTCCATGACTGTCCTCACTCTTTCTTGACTCCGGTACTCTACTTCAGCTGTCTTTCCTGAAGTGTAAAACATCCTTTGCTTCACCCAGTCATCTTTCTTGCCTGTTTTTTCTGACTATTGCCATTCTTCAGTTGCTTGATTTTTCAACTTTTTTGTACTTTGTTCTCCATCTGACAGCTGTTCACAACTCTGGCATTCCTCTAACCTTGATAGCTCATCACACCCAATCTTCTCTTTCTTTTGTACGATCTGTGGCCCTTTCTTACTTTTGCAGTTTTCCCAGTACTGCCTTTTCACTGTCTTGTGCTAAGAGTGGAGTTTCACATATGTCTTACACTTATTTTAGACTCTATTGATACTAAATGGAGCAGTGTGACTGCTCACCACATCCCTAACGGTTCCTTCTGTCTAATGATCCTGTAGCTGGCTGAGTCAGGCAGTCTTGCTGATGCAACTGACAATTGGTCATGAAGAGGAAGACGTGCGTTCTCAGGGACAGCTCAAAATACTGGATATTTTCAAAATACTCAAAGTACTTTTAAAAGCATTCCTGTTTCACATACTAGGTCCTCAAGATAACAACTTTGTCTTTGGCCTTTGCCAGTGTTAGGAGAATATTGCTGCTATTTCATAGAATCACAGAATGTTTGGGTTGGAAGGGACCTTATAGATCGTCTAGTTGCAGCCCCGCTGCCGTGGGCGGGGACACCTTCCAGCAGACCAGGTTGCTGAAAGCCCTGTCCAGTCTGACCTTCAACACATCCAGTGAAGGGCCGTCCCTCTTGTTTTCACTTATATTTCAATTTCCTCTTCTAAATCAGTGGAAGAACTAATATGAGTGCATTTTAAATTTACAAGAATCATTATCCACGAGCCTGACTCCTGTTTTGTTTGTTTTTTTTTTTTAAAGTTTGTCTTCTTTCAGACAAATTAAATTGTCTGAAAGTCTTTTTTGCCTTTTTCTACAAAATTCTGAGTAACCTTTAGTAGCTAGTGTGCTTTCTTGAGCAAACTACACCATGAACAAGTTATATATATATTTTCTCTTGAAAACTTAAGCAGTTTAGATATCTTATGTTTTGCTGCAGAAGGCCTTTTATTCCCATTTTCAGGTATATTTTGCATTATGTAATGTTGTTCTGTGTTGGCAAGTGTTCAGCTTTGAAAATAGAAGAGTACATAAAGAAATGTATTCAAAGAAAGGAAATGGTTGTGAGTAGCACAACTACCAGTGTTTTCTTTTTCAGTCTGATCATTATACCCTCAAGTGAATAATAAGAAAAGCTGCTCTGTGCATCTATTTTTGTGAACCTTGTAGAGCTTAATACTCCTTCAGCCTTTATCTCCTCAGAAGATTTAGCTGACTGCTTGAATAATCATAGAATCATAGGTTGGAAAAGACCTCTAAGATCATCGAGTCCAACCATCCACCCAACATCACCATACCTACTAAACCATGTTTTGAAGTGCCACATCTACACTTTTTTTGAACCCCTCCAGGGATGGTGACTCCACCACTTCCCTGGGCAGCCTGTTCCAATGTCTGAGCCCTCTTTCAGTGAAGAAATTTTTCCTAATACCCAATCGAAACCTCCCCTGGTGCAACTTAAAGCCATTTCCTCTCATCCTATCACTAGGTACTTAGGAGAAGAGACCACCACCTGCCTCACTACAACCTCCTTTCAGGTAGTTGTAGAGAGCGATAAGGTGCCCCCTCAGCCTCCTTTTCTCCAGACTGAACACCCCCAGCTCCCTCAGCCGCTCCTCATAAGACTGGTGTATTCAGATATAAAAAAGCTTTTATTTCTGCTTGCTGCTCTGTACATCTGAGGATCTGCTCTGCCCTTGAACAGCAGAGTTACACTGAGACCTTAAGTTTTTTGGGTTTTTTTTTCTTCCTTACCCCCTCAAACCTACTAGAATTCTTTTTAGTTCTGCTGTAATTGAGGATACTGCCACACACTCTTGTTGTCAGTATCATCTGTAGTCCTCGAGCCTTGTAAGACGTTTTCTTTGGATGTATTAAAAAGTTTATTGTTCGAACAAATCCATTAGGATGAGTCTACATAGTATGTTCTTAATAATTTGCCATTTCATGACTTAGTGTTTTAGCAGTAATAACTTAAGACATTATAAGATTGTAACCATAATGAATACCGCTGGGTCAGGAGGGCATCGCTCTGGGATACCAATAGAAAGTCTGGGTTTTTTAGGATGTCTGTTCCCTGTTCATACTAAATTTGAATTACTAGCCTTAATTATTTTGAATCCATTCAATGTTGCTTTTAGTGAACTCATATATTGGTAGTGTTTTGTCATTAAAATGTCATGTGTGTCTAATCTAGGCATCATACAGAAATTAGAGCACATATAATGATAGTTGTCTTAAGCAGTTTTCATGCATTTTGGAAAGTCACATTTGTGTATTAACACCTATTTCCTGTGCAACAGTACAAATTAGTACTCATATCATCTTGTTCATAGCTTGTATTAGCCTGTTAGCAGAGTTACTATGGATTAATTAATATAAGGCACTATATAGTTTATAACTATGGAAGTTGTTAGTTTTTAAAATATAGGCACAATATTTACTTTTTCTCAGATCTATCTAGTAATTTGAAATTGGCAGACTTTTTTTTTTTTTTTCAAACTTTAGCAAAGCTGAACTATTTCCAACCTTTACCGGGTGAGTTGAAAGAAAATAGCAATCAGTTTGTAGCTACATTTTTACTAAAGCTGTCTGTAATGAGATCTAATGAGAACAGATTGAAAGATTCTTAATTTTCTACCTGTAATCCGTTTATCTCTCAGTTCTTTTCATTCCTTATTGTGTAAAAAGTTTCTGATTAGTTTTCTTGTATTTAAAAGTTTGGACAACCCTTTAGACAAAATTGGGTGTATACTAAGGAGAAGTATAAATTTGCCTCTGAGCCCTGGTGATGTCATCACCATATGCTTGGCCTTAGTTTTCCACAATCATTTTGTCTGTGATTTCTCCAAATTGTCTTTTCAGGCTGGTGATCCAATTGTAATCTACTTTGATTCATCATCTGTACTGAGCACACTTAGACAGCCAGTAAAAATGGGAGCCGGTGGACTTTGTGTTGATGGAAATCCTGCTGGTTAGTAAAGGGGGGAAGAATTTCTTAGGGTGGTTTCCTTCTGTTTTATCTGTTATCCTGTCTTAACTCAGGCTTCCTGGACAGTAAAAGCACAAGCTGTACTCGGATTTTTGCCAACTTGAGCAAGAGCTGCGTTACCGACCCTGCACTAGATGCTGCCTCCTACTACCGTGACTTCACTGTGCTAAAGGTGCATGTCATATTTCTTCTTTTTGATCAACGTCTTATTTGCTTGACTTTCCATTGCCTTCCATTGCAGCTTCAGCTAACTGGAAAACTAAAGGTCATCTGGTATGTCATCCCTGATCTGCTGATTGTTAAGGCCTTCTTGCTGGAAATCATGTTAAAAATGCCATGATCGGTCATAATCTCTAAATTCAAACTACTTTCCAATAAATTTCAGTTAGCAGCAAATTCTTAATGCATTTAACAGATACTTCATTGATTCTTCATAGTTTTTGTGTTTTAACTAGAACTCTCTCACATTTTAAACAGACTGTTTATCAAAGTATTTCTATCCGTTCCATCAACTTGGTTAACCAAAAAATGCATGTTCTTAGTAATGAATGAGGATTTGTTTTACAGAATATGTTATCTCTAAACCGAAGGCCAGTTATCAATATTAGCTTTATTTACATTCATAGATTGAATTTCATATCAATTTCTCCATTATTTATCCTGACAATAATTTTGAAATAACCGATTTATTGTTCTAGTTTAATCATGCTGGCCTTGCTGAATGTTAACATGAAAATACCGCCTCTTGTATTCTAGAGTTTCTTGGGTGTTCCAAGAAAAAATGGCAGTGTAAATATTAACACCCTATGAAGGCTAATGACTCAGTTTACCCTTATATTGGAAATCTAAATCTACATAATTGTAGTAGGTAGTCTTCTACCGATCAAATTTAACTTTTCAGGGCTTTCTTTGTCACTGTGGTAAAAATTTAATTTTTCCTTAAATGGAAGCTGAAGTAATTACTTGATTCCAGAAGGGGGAGCTCCAGGAATGGATCAAAGATGTATCTGCATTCTGCAGGTCATTAGCAGGAACAAGAATAAAATTTGTCTTCTGATGTTCTAAAAGCGCTTTCTGTGGATTATGTCTGTTATTTCTAGAACACAAATTGGTGATAAGTTTTACACATCTAGAATAAACAAAGTAATTTTTGTCAATATAATATGTAGGCTCTATTTAGTGATGGTTTCATGACTTTAGGCACTTGCAAATCCATAAAATCAGGTGACTTTTTGGTGTTGTATGTTGATTTGTTTGTTTTCCCCAGGTCCCAATTAATGACACCATTGTGGAGTCCATGAAGGTCAGTCTCTATTGCCAATGAAAAGAATTTATGCTTCTGAAATAAAACATACCAGGAATCTTCATAGTAATGCCCGTGGGTTGGGAAGCTGGGAGAATGGGAATGTTCTGTGTCTGAGACAAGATTTTTTGGACAGAAGTGTGACTTTATAGAAAAAAAGAAAAAGGGATATAAGGAAGTATGTGCTTTTAAATGAATGGGCATAGATAGGGTTAGAGTCAGGGAGCTAGCTTGTTTTCTTAGAAAAAATTGGACAGCTGGAGCAGAGTGATGTGTCCACAGATCACAGCTACAGCAGGATGGTAAATCTGACTTAGATGGAAAAGCAGTGATGAGTAAGAAAGGCACACTCCTTTCAAACAATCAGTAACTGTTAATGTGCTTATTGTCTCCAGGTAAAGGTCACTGCAGTTGCACCACCTGGAGCTCCCCACATGAAAGACAACATATGTAACAACGTTGTTTCTGAGGTATCTGAATCTTCTTTCCTTTGAGCAACTTGACACTAGCTTAAAGTCATTGCCCTGTTACCTGACTCTGCCTCTGATACTTCTCTGAATTGGACTTTCAGGTGATCTATGAGATAGAATTCAGTGGCACACATGGGATCCAGAGCGTTTCTGTCCAGTTCAAAGTGAGCAACATCTCTGGGGACTCAGGATCCTCTCTGCAGCAGCACTTCACGTTGCACTTCTGGGTCAGTGCCTCTGTCCTCTCTGGGCTCTTACCAAGTTTGTAGTCTGTAGTGTGTGACCCAGTTTTGTACAGATGAGATGTGAAAAGATTAGAGCAGTGTCACTGTGGTATGGTAGTACCAGAACCCTGGGACACAGATGGTGTTCAAAGGAAGGAACACGACACTGCTCTGGTCTCAAGTAAACCATGTTAGTGGAAAAATTCAGGCTCTGTGCAAGCACAGCATGCAGTCTTGCACTGCACAGGTTTGAAGGGGCTGATTATTTTTATCTGACTGCTTTTTGCTGTTGTTTTGATTTAGTTTGGGTTGTTTTTGGTGGGGGGAGAAGGGGAGAAGATGAGATCAGTGTCACCAGCATGGTCTTGTAAAGGAAAGGGTTGGAGCTGGTGTATCTGACGTGTTCAGTGCTTGTGAACAAAGTTACTAAATTTATTCCAGGTACTTATTCAACTTTGACTATGCAGCAGGAAAAAGAGTTACTTTTGAGGGTGTGGAAATCTGGGAAATACTAATGCGTGTTGAAGTTCATATACACCTTGTCCTGTAGAGGCAGTGCAAAGTGGGATAAGTGATGACCTCAGGAGTTGATAAGTGTTCAGTGCAACCTTGCTGAAGTTATCCCCGGAGGCTCTCCCCATAAAACAATTTAGAAGTGGAATCTGCCACTCAGAATTGGGGTCAAGGCAGGGTTTGTTCTGCAGATCCTCTGTAGAATTGCCCAGACTGATATGTTTACGTCCTTAGAGACAAATGCTGAGCAACAGGAATTCATTGTCTCAAGAACTGTCCTGGTAGTATCCACATTTCAGGGTACCAACGTGTAGTTTTTTACCTCCTGTACTGCAGATGAACTTGCCAGGTAAGAAAGAGGATTTGGAAACAAATAATGGAGGTTTTAGTAGTGCATATTATTCAGTCATTCAAAAAATGGGTTGTGTTTACATTTTTGAGAATGTGGATTTGATCTTCTGAGATGAATGGATCTCATTGGTGTTAATGTTTTCCTCTTCTTTTCTGTCTTCCCTTTGCCTCTCTGTAGACCAGGACTCTTTCTCATATGTTGCCTAGAAGTGGAAACCCTGGCTATGTCACTGGAGCACCACTGTTGATAGCAAACAGTGGTGCCATACAGCATGTATCCTTTTTCTGCTATCAATTTTTATTTATCGCTGGGTTTATTGACTTCTGTACTCTACTGTCTGGACTTTTTAGATTCTGCCTTTACCTGTGAGGACATACCTCACTATTACATTGCAGCCATCAGCAGGCCTTTTGGTCATGACTAAGTTGTAGTCCTGTGATATACATAAGGAGGAATGCGAGGTGAGAGGATTGTTAAATACAATTTGGGTGTCCTATATTGTTTCTTTATGCTTTTGTTTGGCTGCTTGACATGCAGTCTGTCAGATGAGCATTTTACGGAGCGAAGGTGATGGAAGTTGCTCACAGTTCTTCAGACACACTGTACAATTTGGAAGAAATATCAGGACAGGCTGCAAGCTCAGGTAACAACACATTCTGCAGTCACCCTTCCTGACACATTTAAAAGGTGTGGACTCACTTAGCATGTTTTTCCATAGTCTCTCACGCACTGCTGTGGAGCCTAGCTCCTTCCCCGAGGTCACCAGTGGGTCTCTACAGATCTTTCTTATGCTCCTGAGAGGACTTGAATATCGGAGAGATGGTGGACCTCTAGAACAATCTGAACATTGTGAAGGTCGTCTGGGACATTTTGAGGCTCTAGCCTGGTATCGTGTCTTGGGCAAGAGCAGAGTTAGTATTTGAGGAGTGAATTATAATGGAACCTTAAAAAAGGGATTGTTGTAATGATTTGGATCATTCTTTTGTTGGTGACGGGGCAGGTATATGACCACTGATGTCATAAGATGGCTATAGAGCTGTCAGTTTTCCTTATCATGCATTACCCTGCCATTTTCTCCCTTCTCATTGCAGAGAGGATTGCAACTGCATCTGTTTAACACAAATACTTCTGTAATGATTCTGTTGACTCATTACAAGAACAGAAGAAATACTCATTACAAAGGAAGGATGTTGATTGCATTTTTTTTCTGTCCTGAAAATCACTTTCTTGAAGCTGTTATTTTCTCATTTCCAGCCTGTCCCCAATACTGGAAGAAAGTAACTGTAGTTACATTCAGCAGAAGTTATACCAGGCTCTTCAGGGGATGAACAGAGTATGGGACCTTGCTGTAACTGGCAGTGCTCGTTCAACCCAGATAGAAGAGTGGATAACCATTATGATTCAGAACTGCAGTGTGCAGGTAATAGGAATGCAAAAAGACCATCTGTGAATATTTTTCCTTTCATATTTTTGTATTCACTTGGGGAAGCGTGGACTTGTGAAAAAAAAGAACCAGCTTATTCTTCTGGGCTTACTTTCTGTGTGATCATCCACTGACTCTCAGGGGTCTTGATGCTTGTAAGCAGTCATTCTTATTATGGCTCATCTTATGAGGATACTTACTAAACAAAAAAACCTTGACAGAGTTAATATATCTTGAATCCTGTTCCTGCTATTTGAATGGGCAAAAAGAGTTTAATACTGAATCTAGTGTTGAATTACCTAGTTTTTTGACAGCCTTTTAGAACTAGGACTACCTGGTTACTGCCTATTAGTTTGATGCCCTTTTTATTATCATACTTTATGATTTTCCAGTTTCTAGGGATATTTATATATTACCTAACAAGAGTAAAAGTTTGCAATCTGAGTATTTCTGGAGGAGGGAAATTCTATTTTAATAATTATTGATCTGTCAGGAGATGGCCTAATAGAATGTGAAATCCAAGTTATAGAGATGAGACAAATTCTGTTTGGAAATGAGATGACAGTGAGATGGATATAGCTGTAAAATGACCAGACCAGAAGTTATGGGGTTAGTACTGAAGTGACTGACTCAGGTTCTGTGACCTATGCTATCCAAAATAGTAGACCTTGACCATAATGGTCCCTTTTCACCTTTAAAATACTTTACTAAGATATTTGGGGTATATTTTATTTTCAGGCTGTGAATTGCACTTCCTGTTGTGTGGTTCCTGTGACCCTGGAGATACAGATACTGTGGGCTCAGGTGGGCCTCCTGTCCAACCCACAAGCTCAAATACTGGGTGCACGGTACTCTTATCAGTGTCACCCCATGAAGGTATGGAATTTAAAACCCCTCCCTCACACACAGAGGTAATTAAATGGGATTCACAGGTTATTTAAGAACCAAGGATTCAAATGGTCTTGATATTACTGAGTTGAGATTTGCTGAACTTTAGTAGTGGTCTGGCTGCAAGGGCAAGAGTTTATATTTAACAGCTCCATAGAAGAAGGTGGTTTTATGGTCTTACCAGTACCGTCCTCGGTCAGTTGTACAACTGGAAAAGGTATCTTCTTTCCAACCCCAAACCACCTTCTGCCACTTAAGGACTCAAACTTTAAATTTTTAATTACGCTCAGTATAAAGATGTAGTACAAACATTCAATAACTACATGTTTATTTAGTTGTCTCTTAAAGCCTTGTTAGGGAATTTGAGTTGACTTGTATTTCACAGACTCCACAGCATGCTGATAATCTGTGCAAGAAGATATTTCTATTCCTTTAGGGGTTCTGAAATCACCAACAGGTAGCTGAGGAAAAGGCTAATGCTGATGGCAGCAGATCTGAAGAATTAGGGGGAAAGGCTGTAAGCCAGAAAGCAGATTTCTAAGACAAGATTACATGACGGAAACATTCAGGGTCAGGTTTGATGGGGCTGTGAGCAACCTGAGCTGGTTGAAGATGTCCCTGCTCATTGCAGGGGGCTTGGACTAGATGGCCTTTAAAGGTCCCTTCCAACCCAAGTCACTGGACCCCATTTTGGTGCAGGGCTGGATTCCCGACATCAAAGTCTTTTGGGCAGCATGTATATTTCAAGGCTTATACTTCTCTGCAAGGGCTTTAGGGGTAGCAGCTGACACCTGTCCATGGTGTTCTTATGGCAGTGAGGTATGACATGGCAAGCGTCTGATCTGTTACTACTCTTTGAACTCCAGACACATTCTAAATGAGATTTTTCATCACTTGTTTGCATGTGTCTCTTGGTACCTCTTCATTCTTGCAACATACATGAAAAGAACATGATAGGAATATGTTCACCTTGTAAAACACATGTTACCCTGAGGTAAACTGACATCCCCACCCCACGAAGACATTTTATAAATCTGAGCTGTTACATGGCTCCATGAACAAAACTTCTATCTGAGGAGGGAGACTTGAATTCCTAGTAAAAGTGCAGGGTGCATCTCCCTCCATAAGGATTAGCCAGTCATGAACTATGAGATTCAGATTTCATCTGCTTGAGCAACTGATGCTAATTAGTTTAGAGCTGTAAGGTGTATTGCAAAGCAAATGATAAGAAAGCAAGTTTCTGGTGGCAAGAAAAAAACACACCATTAAAATCAGTACTGACTTCATCAGTGGCAATCCACAGATTAGGGTTGTTAGTACCAGTCAGTACCATACCCTGCAGTTAAGAATTGCAGCCATTTGTAAGCATACCAGTGAGATCACCAATGTGAGCTGTATATTGCTTTACTTTAAAATTATGTCATTTCACAGTTTAAGCTTACGGATTCTCTGAGAACTCTCCATTCTTTAGAGAAAATCTTTTCCTTGAGACCACACTGTGTCACTGGAGAGTTGCTTTAGCAACTGACCAGAAAACACAGAACCCTGGGGAAGGACATCCCATTTTCTACACCCATCCACAATATCTGGTCACAGTTGTATTTGGACTTCCTGATAATACAAGGCAGTCTTAAATGTTGGAGAGCTGTACAGGAGCACGCTGGAAGTTGCTTGTGGCTGCCTTCTGCCAGTTGCTGACAAGGGGTTGTGTATGGCGTTTTCTCCTCACTAATCTCTCTGATTTTAAGGCAGATTTTGAAGGTCCAGAAACAAAGCCAGAATCATGTTAAGGCATCTTGTTGACTAAGGCAATTGTGCCTACTGTGTGTTTACTCATTCATAGGAGAGCTTATATCCATCAAGAGTGAAGGACAAGTTCTAATTGTAACTGCTCAGCAGTGGTAATTTGTGACCGAGGAATGATCTGGCATGGAGGGCAAGAAGGCCCAACTGCAAGAAAGGGTTAAACTAGGCCCAAGCTCAGCGGCTGCCTTTGGGCAGCAGACCTGGGCTGGGGTATGGACCCACAGGTGGGCTGAGGTGCCCCATGCTGATGCTCTCGGGACTGGAGCTGCTGCAAGTGTATGTAAGGAATTTGCTCGTGACGTGTCTTTGCAGACTCCATGTAGAACCATGTATTGTGGTAGGACCCTCCCCAACGCATTGTTCATTACATTTTTCTTTTATATTTAAGCACAGAAGTAGTTTTAATTTGCCTTGAGAGATACCACAAAAATTCCCCACCAGGAGTCTCAGTATTTTTCTCTTAAGAGTCATGAATTCTGTCCTGGAGCTTTTTCAAATGCTTCCTGCACAGCTTTGCTCCAAAGGCAATCTTCTAGATTCTTTCCAGGGAAGTGAATGAGGTGGTTATTTCGCAGATTGGCTTAAACCAGTGCAAGTACAGAAGGTACGCTGCCGATAGTTTTCCTCTCTTGAGGTTAGCATGCAGAGCTGGGAAGCTGGGGCAGTGAGTGCTAGCCATGAAATTCCACATAGCTCAAGGAATGAGTGTATTGGTTGTCTTACAGCATTCTGCTGAAACAAAAAGGAGCTGAGGCTGTAGAATTTCACTCCCGTGTTCCATCTTTACCAGCTGACTTACCAATCTGTCTCCTTTCTGAAACAGTATCCTAGAATGTGAGAAATAAATTCATTATTGTGTTGAGTCTTTGCTTTATTTTACTGATGTTTTGTTGAAATGATCAAATCTTGCGGAAGTCCTGTCTGTTTCTGGCAGCAATCACCTGTTCAAAGGGCCAGGTAATCTTATCTTCCATAAAATATACAATTTTTAAAAAAATAAGGCTAGCTTTGCTTTTGTTCTTATTACCGACTAGCTGATATGTCTTTCCCCTGAATAGGCAGCTTACTCTAGCAGCGCTCGTCACTGCTTCCATTTTAGAGATCTGTAACATGTGATGCATTGTAGCTACTGATCTTTCCTGAGACCCATGCCCTCAATTTACCTGCTAAGTATCAATTTTGGGAAAGAAGAGCTACTGCACTAAAAATATGTATCTGGAACATTTAGCTCCTACCATCCTAAAGACATCTTGCTTGCTAGTCATCTACAATGGGTCTCCATTAGCAAATTGAGGCGAGATGTATCTTTTGTATTAAGCTTGCTAAACTCTTTGTGCTTTCCTTCTTGTTACAGTTCCTAAGCACAAGCACAGTACCTTTGACAACTGTTGTTACCTTCACTGAGATGACGGAATGGCCAGAACCTCCACGAGGCCAGCCCCAAATGCACTGGAAACTCCCATTTGACATCTTTTTCCCATTCAAGGTGCCACTGAATTTGGAAAGAAGCTATAGAGGTGATCTGGCTGGCTATTTTTTGTTGATTCTAATAATGTGTAGTATTCTCTGCTTTTGAAAAGTCAGATAGACAAGGCCTGTACTTAAAGTTCAGTAAGTGAATTGATACATTCAGGATATGATCCAGGTCATAGACTTTTGTCCTCAGGTTCTTAGACTGTGACTATGATATGTATGTGCCTTCTGCTCTTGGATTAAGCCACATGACTAGCTTCTGTTCTGTGTCCTCTCATGCCCCTACTCTCTATATGCACCACCTGTGAGCCTCACTGCAGTGAAACACTTGAGAGGTTGAGGGATCAAGACATGTTGCATTAATGAGGAACAAGGAGGAGGATGTTAAAAAGAACACTCCACGTTCCCAGAAACCACGAGTGCTTTCTAAACCAAGGAGTATGGAGAGAGGAGCAAAGTTCAAGCATTTTGGAGCTGAGTTTAGTCATCTTCCTGTTGAAGAAGCACCGGATTTTTTAAATGGAACTAACTGAACATTTACAATACAGGAGCCCTCCCAGGCAGCCTGAATTATTATTTTATGAGTAGACATGCCTGCCAGTCACCTTTAACCTGTCCTTGTTACATGACAACCATGTCTCCGTGACAGTTTTTGACTCTTACTTTTCTATGTCTTTTCAAGTGAAATTTTTGTGTTTAAATCACTGTTTACATCAGCAATAGTGTTACACAAAGCAAAGTAATTGTAAACGTCACATCCTCTGAAATATAACTGAATTTCAGTTGTTTGTCAGGACAGCTTTCTTCCTGATATATTCTTTTTCCTTGAAGAAACATGCCTAAATATGTTTTTTCCTAGATAAGAAATATTCTCTTGTGGCTCCAGATAAGAACTGCTGATAATGATAGCCACTGGAATTCTAGGTGACATCACCTAGACATCAGAGAGAGTTGTGAACACTCCGAAAGAAAAAATATCAATTATTTTAGAAAGAATTTGTAGATGTATTATGAGACTGAAGGTTACTGCAGGACCTTACCTCTGGCTCAGTCTGTGGGACCAGAATGTGAGTTTATTGGTTTTGAAGGTGATCTTCTGATTATCTAGTCTGCCCCACTGCATCACACAGGCTAAGGAAATCTGCTCAGTCATTCCATGAAGTTGTTGGGCAACGGTGTCTTTTTTTTTAGAAAAGGATTTATTATTTATCTTAAACTCTTCCCATGATGGAAAAATCTGCCCCATCTAATGTAAAGTACTCCAGTGGAGTCAATAATGGGCAAGAAAATGAGAGACATCTGGCTGACCTTTAACAAAATTTTTAACAAGATTTAAGCTCAGGAAGTATGGGCTGGATGAGTGGTCGGTGAAGTGGATTGAGAACTGGCTGAATGGCAGAACTCAGAAGGTTGTCGTCAGCGGCGCTGAGTCTAGTTGGAGGCTGGTAACTAGTGGTGTCCCTCAGGGGTCAGTACTGGGCCCAGCCTTGTTTAACTTCTTCATCAACGACCTGGATGAAGAGTTAGAATGTACCCTCAGCAAGTTTGCTGATGACACCAAACTGGGAGGTGTGGTAGACACACCGGAAGGCTGTGCTGCCATTCAGCGTGACCTGGATAGGCTGGAAAGTTGGGCAGAGAGGAACCTGATGAGGTTCAACAAAGGCAAATGCAGGGTCCTGCACCTGGGGAGGAACAACCCCAGGCACCAGTACAGGCTTGGGGTGGACCTGCTGGAGAGCAGGTCTGTGGAGAGGGACCTGGGTGTCCTGGTGGACAACAGG